GCCGCTCCGCGGGAGAAAGATGAGGCTTTCTACTCCCGTAAGGATTTACACCCTCGGAAACCCTGTACAGGGTCGCTATGGGTTGGCTCCGACTCGAAGGCACTTAACAACAACATATACATATACATATATAGAGAGAGTCCTGGTGTGGTGCTGTGGGTTAATGCGCCAGACTGCAAATCCGTTTGAACTGCAAGGTCTGTGGTTCAAGCTCACCAGCTGCTCCTTGGAAACCATACACAGGGTCGTTATGGGTTGGAATCGACTCAACGGCACATAACCACCACCACCACCACCATATATATATAAGCCCACCGTGCCACACCAGGACTCTCTCTCTCTCTCTCTCTCTCGCTCTCTGTGGCACAGTGGGCTAATGCATCAGACTGCAAAATCATTTGAACTGCAACGTTAGTGGTTCAAGCTCACCAGCTGTTCCTTGGAAACCGTATACAGGGTTGCTTTGGGTCATAACTGACTCTACAGCACTTAACAACAACATATACATATACTTCTGACTAATAGCAATCCTGTATAGGGTTTCCAAGGCTGTACATCTATGTGGATGCAGATCTACTGCACATGACCTCATTAAAGTTCAAGAGCAAAGATGTCAGTTTGAGGACTAAGGTGTGCCTGACCCAATCCAGGGTATTTTCAATAATGTCATATGACTTGGACTGTGAATAAAGAAGACCATAGAAGAATTGATGCATTTGAGTTATGGTATTACAGGAGAATATTAAAACTACCACGGACTGCCAAGGACAAACCAATCTGTGTTAGAAGAAGTACAAGCAGACTATTCATTAGAAGCCAGGATAACCAGACTTTGTCTCTTGCGCTTCAGACATATTATCAGAAAGGACCAATCCCTGGAGAAGGACATCATGTTTGGTAAAGTAGAGGGTCAGTGAAAAAAAAGAAAGACCCCCAACAAAATGGATTGGCACAGTGGCAGCAGCAAAGGGTTTAAGTGTAGCAACAATTGTGAGGTTGGCGCAAGACCGGGCAGTGTTTTGTTCTGTGGCACATAAACTCGCTGTTAGTCAGTACCGACTGGACAACACCTAACAACAACAACAACAACTCAATCATTTGGTGGAAGTTACAGACTATGGCTAGAAGACCCATAACAAATAAGTCCACTTTACCATAGTCACCTAGTCTATTTTGACTCTTAGTAACTCTATGGGATAGAATAGAACGGATCCATAAGGTTTCCAAGGCTGTCAATCTTTATGGAAGCAGATAGGTTCAACTTTTTCCCACAAAGCAGCTAAGTTCAAACCACCAAACTTTCTGTTACAGCCAAACACTTATTCACAGTAGCCACAGGGCTCCTTAATCCATATTTTTATGTAAATGGCATGTACCTTTTATGTTTGATTGCCAAATGCTTCTTCCCCCAGGATAATATTTTTGTAAATTTGCTATGCTGATGTTTGTTTGTTTAACAACAACATGTGAAACAAAAGTGGCATAATAATGCGTATGGAAATACTTCCAAGGTAGAGGGAGTGGTGGAGAAACGTAGACCAAAGATGCCTCTTCTATTTGTGTAACAATACTGCTGTTGTTAAGTGCCACCTATTCATGTGTAAAATTGTATAGAGTTTCTGAGGAGTAGCTGGTGGCTTTGAATCATCAACTTTGTGATTAATAGTACAATGTTTATCCTACAGGGTCACAACAAGACTCCAAATACTGTTGTGCAAAGATTCCCCTTATATTGAAAGATATTTTTGTTCATGGATGCAAAATACTCATGTAGTTTACAGTGAAGAGGAACAATTTCCTTTCTGATTTCTTGGCTTGGCTGTTTCACACTTCCTACTACTCAACTTGCTCAGTTCTCTTTATCTCTTCTACCTTCTTCCTGCTCTGCGATCATCAGGATGTTGAAGATGCACTGGATTTGGCATGTTGTTGTTATTGTTGAATGCAGTTAAGATCGTTCCTACTGTATAGGGTTTCTGAGGAGTGACCTGTGCATTAGAACTGTCTATCTTGCTGTTTCCTTCTTTTGTACATAAGGTCCCTATGAGTCGGTACCAACTCAATGGCACCTAACAACAACAACCTTGCTGTTAGCTGTCCAGCCCTTACCCTACAGTTTCACGCCAGGGTTCCCTATTTGGCTCAGAAAAGAAAAAGAAATTAATGTCTCTCGAGTGCCTCACTGACCCCTGATTTCTGTCTGTGTGTACAGTCTTTGCCTCCCAAAAGGATGAGAAGCCTGTTTCTACCCCATCCTGAACCACTCCATTCATTTCACAGCAGACATGAGTGGGTTGAGTATATAGTGGGGAAAATATCCCAGAATATAAACCCGCTGTGAATGAGTGTCCTGTGCTTTTTAGGACTTTCCAGTAACTTAGAAGAACGCTGAAAACTCCCAGTAAGGTCCTCAGAAAACCAAGGAACAATTATTTACTCATTTGAATATAAAATGGAGCTTGGGCTATCTACAGGAACTCAGGATTTGAAGGCGATGCTACATATTGGAAGGTTGTGTAATCATCCCAGGTCATGTCACTCTAGTTTGCTGATTCCCATCACTGACACAAACGCACCCTCTGGAGCTCCCTTCTTCATCACAGGAGAACATTCGAGTGACAAGTTTAACTCAGTGGGGGAATTCCTCTCCCCCCCACACTTTCCAGCTCTCGGGCGGCGGGGAAACATGAATCAGCCTCTCGTCTCGGACTCTGAACAAGTTCGCTCCGCCCCGTCGGGGGTCGGTCGCAAGGACGCTCACCCCTCATAAAGCGAGCACTGGCCGCTCTAGAGCTCAGGCTGCCTCTGGCTGGACACCGCGCACCCTCCTCCCAGGCAGCGCATTCTTAGGACGCCTTGCCCTGTGGGCAGATCAGACATCGGCGCCATGGACCCTGCTGGCCCCGTGGGGCTGCGGATTCTGCCTCTGCTCCTGCTGGGGCTTGCGCTGGGCGATGCTTCCAAGGCACCGACAGGTAGGAGCCCCGTCGAAGAGCCCCCTTTCCTGCCTGGTTTCCACAGGGCTGGGCCGGGCCGGACAGACGCGGTGGACCAGTGCACCCCCTTGCTCCGCAGCTCTTTTCACCACTTCTTTGTGCCTCTGGCGCATGCCCTGCGGAGCTGAGGGTGACTCGCGGGAAAGGGGGCCTCGCTCCCAACTTTGCACTTTTGTCTGTCTTTTCCAGGAAATACGTCTGACCTTTCTTTTCCCCCATGTCCTCTGACCCTCTTGTAGGCGGTAACTCTGAGATTTGCCTGCTGCCCCTGGAAGTAGGACCCTGTCGAGCCTTAATCCCCAGTTACTACTATGACAGGTACACACAGAGCTGCCGCAAGTTCATGTATGGGGGCTGCGGAGGCAACGCCAACAATTTCGAAACGTGGGAGGCCTGTGATAAAGCTTGCTGGAGTATACAGAGTAAGTCCCTTTCGCATACCTTGTTGGAACTCTTGCCTTGCACTAAGAGTTTGTAATAACTTAGTTTTCCAGATCCCATTTTCTACAAGTTTTAGCCCAAATTTTCTGTAGTGCTGAGCAAGCTTCATTGGTATTGAGTTTCCCAAAAGTTTACAAGTTTACAATTACTGGCACGTTTCTTCCCTCCTGTGTGTGAACTCAGGAAAAGATATCTTAATTCATCATTTGTTGTTGTTGCTAAGTGTCACCGAGTCAGTTCCCACTCACGTAACAAACCCAGTACAGGGTTTGCAAGGAGCGACTGGTGAGTTTGAACCTCCGACCTTCTAGTTTAAACCAACCTTGCTATCCTGCACTTATGCTCCAGCGCCACACCAGAAGTCCTGCATACAATTTCGGAGACTAAATCTTTGTGGGAGCAAAAGGCCCCATCTTTCTCCCAGAGCGGCTGGTGGACGGAATCATGAACCTTGTGATTCTTGTTGCTGTTGTGAAGTGCCTTTGAATTGGTCACTCGCTGGTGAGCTTAAACTGCCCACTTTGTAGTTCAAACTGACTTTACAGTCCAGCTCATTCCCCCACAGCGCCACATCAGGACTCTTAGTTCAGTGCTTATCTCCAACATCGCCACACAGGTCCTGAAATATGCAAGGGTATAAATGTAGGTGCAGCATAAGTGCTTTTCTGTATTATCCTTAGTTTTAAAGTTTAAG